CGCTACGTCACCACATGTGTGCCGAATGTCCCCTCACATGGACCGCACCCCACAGGGAGCTCCACCGACGGTGAAGAGCCAACGTGTGCATGCCGCCTCACCGTTCCCACGACGGTGAAGAGCCAACGTGCGCATGCCGCCGCACCGTCCATGGCGGCACACCCGTGATCTGGATTATGAGTGGGGGGGGGCCCTTTGGGGTCTCGCGGCGTGTGGGGGTGAGAGCTCTGTAGGTGTTAGGGTTCCCAGGCCTCATAGGGCTCATGGGGCACCATGAGGCTCCATAGTGGTCGTAGGGCTTGTGGGGCCGACAGGCCTCATATGGCTGATAGGGGTATGGCCTCTCGGGGCTCTCGTGGGGCTCCTGTTGAGGCTCTCTTGGGCTGTCTGGCGGCCCTCCTGGGCCGTCCCGGGACCATCTTGGGCCGTCCTGAGGGGTTTGGGCCGTCATGGGGCCCTCTTGGTTCTTCTTGGGGGCCTCCTGCGGCCATCTTAGGGCTCTTTGGGAAGCCTTTTGGTGCTCTTTGGGGCCGTCTTGGGGCTCTCTTGGGTCGTTTTGGGATCCTTTTGGGCTGTCTTGGGGCTCCCTTGGGGGCTTCTTGGGCCGTCCAGGGGCGATCTTGGAGGCCTCTTGGGCCGTCTTGGACGCGGCGAAGGCCAAAGAAGCGGATATGCTAAAAATGTACGTTGTCCGAAGGGAATGGGACGACTTTCACCTCGTGGGGGTCTTCTTGGGGGCATCTTGGGGCGTCTTGAAAGCATCTTGGGCCGTCTTGGAGCCACCTTGAGGCCTCTTTGAGCGCTCATAAGCCGTTCTGGAGCGGTCTTGGGCCGCTTTGGGGCTTTGCGGGACCGTCCAGGGATGGCCGGGAAGGGCTCCCGAAACCGAAATTCGAATTTGACGTCGGTGGGAGCGCCCAGGGCAGAATTTTTGTGGGGGGGGGTCAGGGGTGGTTTTCCGCTTTAAGAATTTTCGAGGAGGAGAATATATATATATATATATATATATATATATATATATAAAGATATATATGTGCACACGTAGCACCCCGCAGATGCGGATAAGAGTGAGGGGGCGGTGGGGGCATCGGCAGTTTGCGAGACTCTGGAGAAGCCCGCCGCAGGCGCCACAGTGTCACAAATTACACAACGAGGCCGCCGCAGGCGCCGATCTTTTCGTTAAACCAATGTGGATAGTTCGCGGTTGGGTCGCACTTGGGTCGCGGGTGCGTCGCTGTTGGGTCGCGGGTGGTTCGCAGGTGGGTCGGGGGATGGCTCGCGGGTGGGTCGCAAGTGGGTCGCGGCTGGGTCGCAAGTGGGTCGCGGGTGGGTCGCGGGGTAGGTCGCGGGTGGGTCGCGGGGTGGGTCGCGGCTGGGTTCTCGGGTGGGTCGCGGTTGGGTCGCGGGGTGGGTCGCGGGTGGGTCGCAGGTTGGGTCGCGGGTGGGTCGCAGGGTGGGTCCCGGGGTGGGTCGCGGGGTGGGTCGCGGGGTGGGTTGCCGGTGGGACGACGACAATAAACAACAACAACAACAACAACAACAACAACAACAACAACAACAACAACAACAACAACAACAACAACAACAACAACAACAACAACAACAACAACAACAACAACAACAATTACTAGCACGTGGGGACACTCCGTTCTCACCAGTGCCAGGGTTTTCATAGGAGGCGGGCAATACCCCCACTTTGTGGGGGGGCCGGTTCAAGCTCTACCAAATTTCCAAACGACTCTTCGCCACCACCCACACCCAGCTTCCCGCCCTATGACGTTCGGACACTTCACTTCGTGGCCTGCGGACGACCGTGGCTACTACACTGGCGCATGGGTACAGTGACTTGTTGTGGTAACATTTTCTGGACGCTAGCTTAGTATACGACTTTTCCCCCTGTTCCAACACTGGACACCTGTACTGGTTTTTGGTGGACCTACGGTGCGATTCGTATGATTTTATGTTGCGCGGTGCTAAAATTCCTCAGAAACCCAATGGTTTTTGAAGATTTCGGCGTGCGCGCGCGAAGAAAAAACGAATGTGTCCCGCATGGTATTATTTGACAGGGATGATGGCCCTGGCAGGTGCGCAACCGTTGTTGGAGAAGTTCGAAGCACGTGAAAAAGTTGCTCGCAAAAGCCCGTTTGACAGAAATGTTTAAAAAGTGTTGGGTTTCCTACAAATCCGCAAGAGCGCGCGGGATGAAATTTTGACACTTTTTTTTTGAAAAACCATTGGTTTTTTGATGTTTTTATGTTAAAATCGCTACGAACACTAAGGTTTTGGAAGGATTTCGTCTTGCGCGCGCGAATGTCCACTTTACCTTATTTTTTGCAAGGGATTCTTGAAGTTTGGTTATGTTAGAACAAGAAATGTCCACTTTGCCTTATTTTTTGCAAGGGAAAACCGCCCGTAACAAAACAACCGGATCCGGACCAACCCGTTTTGCCAGAGACTTCCTCACGAAAATGATGAAAACATGGCTGCGGCCTAGGCGCGGCGAGGGGGCCGTGCACCAGGGGCCCCAACAATAATTATTCTTTAGAAGTAATAATGTTCAACCACAACCACAACCACAACCACAACCACAACCACAACCACAACCACAACCACAACAACCACAACAACCACGAAACGAACATAATGTTCACCACGGATCTCCAGATCAGCCACGCACCCAGGGACAATGAATGACCGTTCGGCCCCTCACTCTGATATATATATATATATACATGTTTATATATATATATATATATATATATATATATATATATATATTATATGTATACACATTAGTATCAAGATCCACCGCCCGCTGGGGTCCCAGGACCGTCGGGTCCACAGGCGGTGGATATGGATACAGTCAACGCACAGAGTAAGGATGGGCAATTTTCCCAAGGGTGCCCTTGCATCCTTGCCCCGTCGGCCCATCCTTGGCGACTTTCGCTGGCCAGCCTCGCTCGTTCGAAACACCTCCACATGAAACGCGGCCCTCCAAGGCCCTTGGATGTTTAATTACCGCACATCTTGATGGTACGGGTTGACTGTATATATCCCCGCCTCGCAGTGACCCTCCGCTGGAGTGACCCTCCGGTGCGCGGTGTTTCTTTCGACTGCACGCGGGAGTGCCCCATCTGGTCTGGGTCACCTCTGGCGCTGGCGCGCTGGGGCTCCCCGAGGGCTGACCGCGATGCCATAGCATTAAGTCGGGCGTGCCCCTCTACAGGGGGGCTGTTCAAAGATAGTGAAAAAATGTGTGAGGACATTTTTTGAGTATTTTTGATTATTTGTCTTGCGTGTCTTTGTCATTTCTCATTTTGCGTCCAAAATCCGTCCGTAGGAGGAGACGCGCCCGACCTGACGATAGATTTGATGCTTGACGCGCGCCGTGGCCAGGCCGGCGCTGGTGGAGGGCGAGGGTTCAGCTGCAGGGGAGGACAACGTGTCGACGCCGCTACCCATCCCTCGTGCTGGCATTCCCGGGCCTCCGGGGAGGCCCCCGTCGCGACGGCTGGATTCTCCTCGAACGCCTGGTCTGAAACCGCCCCAGAAGAGGTCCGGGAGGTCGCGGCACCCGTGTCGCTTTGGCCCCCATCGAGATTGGCGCCTGCTCGCAACGGAGCGGAGGGATGGTTTTCCCCACCCGATGGGCTGGGTTTGTCAGAGTCGGAGAAGAGAGACATCTGGGGGCCCCGAACGGCGCGGTGACCACACTGACTGTGTGGTGAGGCAGTGCGGGTTAGGAGTGACCGCACGGTTTTGGGACACTGGGGTCATGATGGAAACAAGGTCCTCTGCAACATTCCAGTCGGCGCGTGCGAAAGAATTCGGCGCAATGGCGCGGGAGGGGTGGGGGAAGGGGAGCGATGTCAGATACGGTGCGAGCGCACCTAGCTTGCGCTCTTCCCCCCCCTCTCTCCGTCTGCCTCTGTCTTCTCCCGCTCCACCCCCTCTCCCCCCCCTTCCTTCCTGGCCCTCGACGACGGCGGCAGGGAGGACCCCCAGCCGCACCTCCATTCTCTCCCTCTCGAGCCGCCACGCCAAGGCGAGGACCATCAGTCAGGCAGTGGCGAGACGTCGCGGCGCGCATACAGGCCCACCAGAGAATGCCTATATGAGTGCCAGAACGGTCGGCCTCTGCTCAAATCATAGGCCTTACCGTCCACCCGCCAACCAACTCATCGGGCTCCTCCCCTCCGCTCCCCACGCCCCACCCCCTTCCCGCTCCCAAGAGGCCTCTCTGCCCGAGGGGGCGCGCCCTTGCACTGTATCGAGGCCCTGGGCCCCCCCCCCTCCTCCTCCTCCTCCTCCGGCTCCTCCTTCTCCTTCTCCTTCTCCTCCGCCTCCTACTCCTCCTCCTCCTCCTCCTCCTCCTCCGCCTCCTCCTCCTCCTCCTCCTCCTCCTCCTCCTCCTCCTCCTCCTCCTTCTCCTCCTCCCCCCCGCCTGCCCGAGCCGCCCGCGGTGCGATGCCATCCGGTCCGCGGCCTGGGCCTGCGATGCCCATCCGATCCGATCTGGCCCGATTGATTCCGGCACTGGCCCGGGCCAGCCGGAGCCGAGGAGGAGGAGGAGGAGAAGGAGGAGGAGGAGGTGGTGGAGGAGGAGGAGGAGGAGGAGGAGGAGGAGGAGGAGGAGGAGGAGGAGGAGGGGGAGGGGAGGGGGAGGGGGAGGGGGAGGGGGAGGGGGAGGGGAGGGAGGAGGAGGAGGAGGAGGAGGAGCGATCTGGTCCGCCCCCGGTCCGACCTGGCTTCGCGATGCGGTCTGGCTCAGGCCTGCACGTCCTGCCCGCGGCGGCCCGCAGCGCTCGGCTTAAGTCGGGCCTGTCCCCCTACAGGAAGGAATATTCCAACTAGGTATAACAAAATAGTTTGGGGACGATCTTTTTTCTCAACATGGAAAACACTCTTTGAGTGTGCATGATTATTTGGTTGACTATATTTTAATTATCGTCCCAAATCCGCCTGCAGGAGGACACGCCCGACCTAACGCTCGGCCGCAGGCGCGTCGTTCAACGTCGACGTCAGCACCGACGGCATCACGCTGGACTTCGGCGGCTTCCCGCCACTGATCCCGCGGGTGATCGACGCCGTTCGCGGCTCGGTCGGGGCGAGGGCGACGCGGGTTGGCGCACGAATATTTTCTGCATCATGAATCGGAGGCCTAGAGGCTGGCAGCAACATCGGTATCGGCAATTGTCTCCACCGAGGGAAGATGATCCCCGATCTCGGTGATCGTGGTACTATTTGGGTTTCTTCGGTGGCGGCTAGCTCACCAACATCACCAACGTCCAGGATCCTTGCCTTGGTGGAGGCAAGCGCTCTGAGTTGGTGCTGGTGCCACATCCCTTGCCGACCGTCGGGGACGCCGCGACGCCTGGCACAGCGGGCTGCAAAGTTTGTGCGCCTACGGTGGCACGTGGCGGTATGCACATACATCCCGGCCGCCCAAGGACAGGCCCCCCGGCGCCAGAGTTGATTCCCACATGCAGCTTGCCTGTAAGGGTCGTGTACATATATAGACACATACGAACACACGCATGTATATACGTACAAACTGCATTGGCCCTTCGCGCCATGCACCGTGGCCCTTCAGGATCGCCGCGCGGGCGGCAGGCGGGGCGCGGGAGCGAGAGAGAGAGAGAGAGAGCGAGAGAGAGAGAGAGAGAAAGATACCCCAAAGGGGAAGAGAACGCGGAAGAGCGAGAGAGGGCGAGAGAGCGAGAGAGAGAGAGAGACATATATATATATATATATAGAGAGAGAGCGAGAGAGCGAGAGAGAGAGAGAGAGATAGAGAGAGAGAGAGAGAGCGAGAGAGCAAGAGAGGAGAGACCCAACAGGGAGAGAGAAAGAGAGAGAGAGAGAGAGAAAGTGATAAAGAGAGAGAGAGAGAGAGAGAGAGAAACAAGAAAGGGAGGGGCCCAGAATGAGGTCCGCGGAAGAGGAGGAGGAGGAGGAGGAGGAGGACGAAAAAGGAGGGGGAGGACGAAAAAGGAGGAGAACGAGGGGGAGGAGAAGGGGGAGATGGTGGAATGAGGTGTGCTGCACCCGGAGTAATCGGATGAATTCCCAAAACAAGCTCCGAGGAGAGTCCATTATATAGTTCCAAGGGGCTCCGATGAGAGCCGCAGGGCGGCCCAGTAACGGGGATGTGTGATTGCAGGCCCTGAGATGGCTCCAAGATGGCCCCAAGGGGCTCCAAGATAGTCTTAAGTCGGGCCTGTCCCTCTACAAGAGGAAAATTCAAAACATAGTAGCAAAACAAAGGTCAGGCGACGATATCATTTATTATGTGTACATGTTGGGAGTATGTTTTGATTTTATATGTTTCGTCCAGAATCTGCCTGTAGGGGGACAGGCCCGACCTAAAGATAGTGGTAAAGCGAGCCAGACCAAACAGGTCCAAGGCACTTCCTGAAGAAGTCTCCGATGAGGCCAACAATCGCTTGTCCCGAATGATGGTTCCACGATCACCGAAGATGGTTCCACGTAAACCCGGAACATCTTCACAAGGGCTGCGCAGAACCCCAAGAGCATTCGATATGGCCCCAAGAGCGGCCTCAAGAATATGTACCACGAGGGCCCCAAGAACGATGGAAGAAGAGGGCCCCCAAGGCTCCCAGAGTGGGCGCCGAGAGAGTTCAAGAGATTATCCGCGGACCGAGGGCGAGAGCGCGATTTTTTTAAACTCAGCACCTCCCTGGTCGCAGTCCTGAGCCCCTCCTTCCAATGTATGCTGCGCGAGGTGCGAAATGTCTACTTCTTGGAAGGCAATCGCGTAGGCACGGCGCGTTGCAAGCGATGGCCGAAACATCACAGCCCAGTGTATTAAGTTTCTGACTACATCTCGTGTGGGGGAACCAAGCCAGGCATCAGGCATACGTGAGTTTGTGCATGCTAAGGATGCAATGCCATCCGTGCGATAGGAAATCCAGTCACAGCCACATGTGACCAATTGAACCTGTCGCATGTGCAGGGATCTAATTTATATGTCCGAATCTGCCGACCCCTTAGGGTCCCAGCTTCCTGGAGCAGTCGTGAGCACACAAGGGGGAAGCACGAACGGAGTGGGAGCGGAGTCCCAGTTATGGGGCGCTTCTGGGTTTTCTTACAGGCCCTTTTGGACCGTTTTGGGGCTCTTATGGGTTGTCTCGGGGGGCTCTGGCCGTCGTGGAGCTCTCTTGGGGGCTTCTTGGGGCTTTTAGGGGTTTTCTTGGCAGTCTCCTGGGGCCGTCTTGGGCCGTCTCGGGGTTCTCTTGGGCCGTCTTGAGGCTATCTTGGGACGCCGTGGGGCTCTGGAGCTGTCTTGGGGCCCTCTTGGGACCGGATTTTTCAACTATTCATTCTTATTTTAGAATGCTTTTGACTATTTTTCAGTTTTCGTCCAGAATCCTCTCGTAGGATGACTCTTCCCCCCCCCCCTCCCCCTTCACAACGGACGCTACGTGGGGGAGATGGGCAAACAATCTCCAGGCAGCGGCCTTGCAGTGGTTGTCACTGACGGGTACGTTCTGGAAGCCCGCCGAAGTTTGCCGCCACGTTCGGGCAGCGTGTCGCCGCCGAAGCGTTCGGCGTTTCACTCGGGCTTTTGGTCCGTCCCTCGGTGGCCCCCTCGGTGCCGCCTGGGAAGCCCAGTGCCTGGGGTGGACGCGGGCTCGTTGGCCCACTGGCTGTTCCTTCCGCCTCAGGGCTGCCTGGTGCGCGCCGGCATGCTCCCGAGGGTTTGCCATTGCGTGGCTGCCGGGCAGTACGCTGCGCAGAAGCAGCGACACTTGAGGGCAACTCTCTTGCACTGCTGCGTTGCCCGCAACGGGACGGATGCAGCTCGACGGGTCGCCAGCCAAAGCTCACGTCCGTGGAGCTCCTCCTCCTCCTCCTCCTCCTCCTCCTCCTCCTCCTCCTCCTCCTCCTCCTCCTCCTCCTCCTCCTCCCCCCTCCCCCTTCTCCTCCTCCTCCTCCTCCTCCTCCTCCTCCTCCTCCTCCTCCTGCCTCCTCCTCCTCTCTCCATTTTCCTTTTTAGGTGGCCGAGGTCAAGGGCCTCGAGGCCCGCCTCGCCCTCCGGGCCGCGGCCCCCGCCTCCCCTCGTTCCCTTGCTCCCCTCGTCGCGGGCTGCGTGCAGCAGCTGCTGCTGCTGACCCGTCATCCCGCACATTCCCGCACACTCCCCCCCCTTTCCGCCGAAGGAGAGGGAAGGGGAAGCCCAGCGCCCGCGCCACAGGCAAGGTGGCGCTGGCAGGGGTCCAGTCGTCCCATGGCCATCCAAGACCCTTTGCCATCTCCCCCATGTCTCCCTGCCCCTCCCTGGTACAGCTGGCACGAGGGTGAAGACCACACTGGCTCGGGGTTAGGTGCACTTCTGCTATTCGTGCTTGGGCGCTCCTCTTCGGAGTGCGGGATTCGCCTCATTCGTGGCATCTCCGTGCGGCTTTGGGTCTTCGGCGCAGGGCCTTCGTTTGTTCTTCGCGCGCGCTCCTGCGGCCTCGTTGAAACTGCGAGCTCTGCCCGTGATTCCGCGGAGCCCGCCGATGCTGCCCCGTGGCCTGCGAGAAACCGCACGGCAGGGCGGGGCTCCGCTCGGCTAACCTGGTGCCCATGTCGATTCGATGACGGTGATGGATGTGACGATGACGTCACTGTTGTCGTTATCATCGTCATCGTCATCTTTTCGCCCGGCTCGTTCTGATTCGATGTCGGTTTCGACGTCGGGGCGACCGTCCGATCCGACCCGATTCCGACCCCGTGCCGATTCAGCCCGACCCAATGCGCGTTACGGTCCGATTGAAGTTTCCCAGTCGATGTTATCTGATCGTCGGCTAAGTTTGTTTGTCCCTCTTGCCCTCCATCCGCTTTGCTGAAACAGTGCCTGCTCTGTTCCCCGCCAGAGGGGAACTGTCGTCTTGTGCCGAGGTGCTCGCTGGCTTCAAGTCTGGAGTGGATGTCGCGAACCAGGACGGCACACCCAAGGAGCGACCTAGACCTGGCACGTGTTTCTCACATGTGTTGCACCCTCTGTCGTCTGCATGCTACGTTACTCGATGCAGGCACGTGCGAACACACAGGGTTGCACATGTACGTGTGTAGTAAATATCGTTATCGTTCGTTCCAGCTGTGTAAAATGTCAGAGCGGTTTGCCTACGGTGAATTGGAACGTGCAGGGCAGCATCGCGTCCTTCATTATCATTGTGGTTGCCGACTCCTGCCCGCAACCCCCGATTGGATGATTGCCAAAAAGAAGAGTCCACGCCTACGGCGAGTTGTTCTCGGGTGCAACGTAAGAGGGGGAGTCGGCTCAGGGGGAGATTCGTCGACTCACAGTCACCCATTGGTCGCCGATGCGGTCTGCTGGCCCGCCCCGCCCAGGACCGTTCGGATTCTCTACGGGGACGGGGCGGCGACGGTGGCAACGCAGCTGCCAAGCTGGCACACAGGCCCAGACCGCCAAACGCCGATCTATCGGAGATGTGTCGCCGAATCCACTTCGATGTTCCCCCCACCCAGTTGAGTTGGCATTCCCCCTGACGTCCCCCCGGCCCTGTTCCTCCTCGTCCTCCTCCCCTTCCTCCTCCTCCTCCTCCTCCTCCTCCTCCTCCTCCTCCTCCTCCTCCTCCTCCTCCTCCCCCTCCTCCCCCTCCTCCTCCTCCTCCTACTCCTCCTACTCCTCCCTCCTCCATTCCTTTTCCTTATGAAAAACTTTTCCGTGTCGCACCCCGAGGCTAGTTTTTTCGGTAGGTTGGGCGTTTCACCTGAGACGTCTTCATCATTTATGATTCGGAAGCTTCCAAATTGACAACAGCTTCACATATGGAGGGCGGGTGGTTTTCAAAATGTGGCTCTCGCCCCGGCGCGGCGCACATTCGTTTTAAACATTTGTGAGGGCTTCACGGATTAAGGGCCACCCGGTTTCAACATGTGGCTCTCGCTTTAGCGCGGCGCACATTCGTTTGAAACAGTTGCAAGAGTTTCACGGGTTGAGGGCGTTTTGTTTCAAGTTGTGGTTCTCACTTTAGCGCCGCGCGCATTCGTTTTAACAAATTACAAGAGTTTCACGGACTCCCCTCATCAGCGTGCCAGAGAGGGTGTTTTGAAACGATTCAGGATTACGCGGGTGCAACAGTTACATTGATTCGCTGTGGTGAAGTCCCAGGAATGGCGTTCTGGCACGATTGAGGATCGTCAAGACGCAACAGTCAGGTTGATCCGTGGCGTTGGACTCGCGAGAACAAAGTTGTGGCATGCTTCAAGGTCTTGAAACGGTTGTCTTCCAACGAGGCAGTTCCCGCAATGGAAATGAGCCGTTGTAGGGGCCTGCGAAGGGGGAGCTGGGAGAGAGAGAGAGAGAGAGAGAGAGAAATAAAAAAAGAGCTTATCCCACCTTCGTTGAGGACTCTTGCGTTTACACTGGTCCTCCTCCTCCTCCTCCTCCTCCTCCTCCTCCTCCTCCTCCTCCTCCTCCTCCCTACCCTCCTCCTCCTCCTCCTCCTCCCTGTCCTCCTCCTCCTCCTCCTCCTCCTCCTCCTCCTGCTCCTCCTCTCCCCGGCCTTCCGCTCCGTGTCGGATGGCCTCATTCGTGCCGGCGGTGGACATGCCCTTCCCGCGCTTCCGCCCGCGAGCCGCCCGCCACCCGCCATCCTCTCGGGGGGCGCCGGCTGGCCACGCCGACCCCTCTCACGCCCCATCCCTGGGCCCCGTGATCTACGACGCATTCTCCGACGATCGTTTTCCCCAACAGATGCTCCACCGAGGGGCCGTTGCGTCTGAATTGGACGAGTCTGGCGATGTTTCGCCACGTTGCCGCCGGCTTCCGGGGAGGACAAGGCGCCCCCGCCGCTGCCCTTCCCTCGTGTCCCCCCTTTTTGGGCCCCCTGGGAGGCCGTCGTCGCCACCGCTGGATTCGCCTCGAGATCCTGGTCAGGACGCGCCCCAGGAGAGGTCCGGGGAGAAGCGGTGTCGGTACCTTTTGGTTGCCCCAGCTTACCAGTTTGAAACATATCCCTATCCCTATGTTTGGCATCACCTCACCTCGATGCCGATCTTGAGGACTCCCTCGGTTTCTGAGGGCCTATCCCTCAGATTGTCCTCGCTCTTTGCTCGCCCCTCTTAGGGATAGGGACAAGTTCGAGGCTGGTCACCAGCATGCCTGCACTCCGCGGCGAGCAGTTCTGCATTGGCTCGGTCCGTCGAGGGCCCGCCACGCTGCCGCCCGTGGCCACCGCGTTCTGCCGCCACCTGCACCGGGTGAGTGCGGGAGAAAGCTAGCCCCGGGGAAGGGGACGCCTCCTCCTCCTCCTCCTCCTCCTCCTCCTCCTCCTCCTCCTCCTCCTCCTCCTCCTCCTCCTCCCCCTCCCCCTCCTCCTCCTCCTCTCCTCTTCCTCCTCCTCCTCCTCCTCCTCCTCCTCCCCCTCCTCCTCCTCCTCCTCCTCCTCCTCCTCCTCCTCCTCCTCCTCCTCCTCCTCCTCCTCCTCCCTCCTCCTCCTCCCGAGGATAGGGGCGGGAGCTGTGGGGCCGCGGATGGAAGGCAGCATGCCGATTTTTTTTTGTTGGGGATCGACGTGCATGCCCACATGGCCAAGCCAGGAGGGCATCATGCGCCTGTCCTGACTTGGTGCCGCAAGACGTCCTACAGTGAGCGGCTTGAGCAAGGAACACTTACTTTTCAAAAGCGGTTTGGTCGTTCCTTAGGTTTGCATGCGTTCTGCTACCTTTTTGGCGGCGAGCCCCCTGGTGTTCCTTGGGAAACAAAGGGGCTTCGTTCCTTATTGCTCGTTCCTCAGGTCAGGCCGATGTTTTTGTTGGGGGATCGACGTACATGCCCACATGGCCAAGCCAGGAGGGCGTCATGCGCCGGTCCTGAGTTGGTGCCGCAAGGCGTCCTATGTCCTCCGCGTGGTCGTTCTCGCTCGCACGTCTGAGGTAGAGTAAAGGCGTGGAGCGGCTCACGCATTCTGCCCGACCCCGCCACTCGTCCTGTCGAGGTGCGAACCTATGCGTTCTTCTCCGCAGTTGCGGGATCTGAGATACACTACAGTTAATTCGGGTTGGCGGTTGGCGAGGGGGGGGCATTGGGAAATGGTGGGGCTACGTTATCTGATTCATGCACCTGGTTCCCACCTCGCCGCTGGGCGCCGTTCTCGAAACGTTGGCGCTTCGGGCGCCGCTAGGAAGTCCAGCTACGTGAGCTGATTGGCTAACCCCTCCATGGCTGATTACTGTACCCCCCTTGCCCCTTGTTGTCCGCTCTGATAAACATACGTCTGCGTGTAGCGCAGAAGTGCCAACGTGCATTGCACTCCCTCGCGTGGTGTGGCGCGGTCAAGCACAATGCGCGCATGCCTGTGTGTACTGGCCTTCGCGTGTACGACCGACTGTCCCCTGCGTGCTCGATTGAGGGCCTGCGCTTGTTTTTAGTCGGGCCTGTCCCTCTACAGGAGGAATATTCAAAAATAGTCAAAAAATAGTCAGGGGACGATTTTTCTACCATTTTAACCTATTTGGAGCATTTTTTAAATTTGTCGCTTAAAATCCCCCTGTAGGGGGACAGGCCCGACGTAACGCTTGTGTGAACCCTCATGCCTGCGAGCGTGTACGTGGATTGGCTTGCGTGCCTGGGCGTGAACGTGAGCGTGTTTTCCCGCCTGCGCCTGTGCGCTGGCGGAGAGCAAGGGGGGGCAGCGAGAAGGAGAAGGCCTTCTCGGAAGGTTCGGAGGTCCCCCGACTTTCTGAGAAGTTTTCTGAGCCTTCCCCGAAGACACAGACAGAAAACTTCTCAGAAGGTACGAGGGATTCCGAGAAGTCCCGCCGCCTTCTGAGAAGGCCTTCTCCTTCTCATTTTCCCCCCTCGCTCGCCGCCGTGTACGCGCGCGCGCGTGTGCAAGGTTGTGTGTGCGCCTTGGGTCGCACGCCGTGTGGCGGTGCATGGTGCGGATCGCAGTTGCACGCCTTCGGTGTTACGAGTGTTGGTCGCTCGCCAGGTGCGTGTCCTGCACTCTTCGAAGGACACAACACATATACATAGGCTGCCGGAGCTCCGCGCAGATCTCTTGGATCGGCGCTGGGCCCCCTGAAGGCGCCTCCAGCGCCGTCCCTGGGTCGCTTTGTGCGCCAGGGATACGGGCCCAGCGCAGATCCAAGAAATCCGCGTGGAGCTCTGAACGTTGATGCTTACGCCGTATTTTCTTCCTCTGAAGGTCTCGTTCGGTTGAGTGACCCTCTAGATCAGATCAGGAAAAAACAGATAAACACAAAGGGTTTTGTTGGTTTTACGCCGGAAGGGGGCGTCGTTGAGAGAGTGCCTGGCACGGATGCGGGGATCGGGGTGGCGTCGGTGTTTGGAGCTGGCGGTTTGCGTGGCAAGCGCGTTTAGCTGGTCGCATGTGTTTGGAACGCGTGACGGGTGGAAAGGCCGCCCACCAGCAACTGGCAGTCCTCTGCCCGCGGGCCAGAACAAATCGCCGCGCGCTCGCAGCGTGGCGTGGGAAAGGAGGTTGGGAAGAGAGCGCGAGTCTCATTCCCAAGAAGTCCCTTCGATATGCAATGCAGCAAACAAGTATGTTTCTTTTCATCTGACGCACGGCCAACCGAACGAACGAGCAACTGTCTCGACGCGCAGCGTTAGCTTCGCTTTCGCGCATCCTGGCTATCTTCCGTTGCTTCCTTCGCTTCTTTCTCGCCCTCCTCTTCCTTTTCCTCTTCCCCTGCTTTGCCTTGTCCCGCCCCCCTTCCTTTCCAGCTCGGAGCTGTCACCGCGCGCGAAGAGCGCAACCCAAAGGGCGTTGCTGTAATTCCTTTGTGAACCACGAGGACTCTCGTGTAATTCCTTTGTGCGGTCTGGTTACACTGCCAACGCGGGTGGCGCAAAAAGGACTTTGCTTTGTGTACGATCGTTTTCGCCGCCCCCACAAGATCACGCGCGATTCCTTCGTGTAGAGCTTGCTTTCCCGCCTCGAGGAACGCACGGGGCCTGGCGCTACAATCACAAGGCCGCGGCGCCTGGCAGTGCGATGCTGCTGCGCCGGATACCACGCCCAAAACGATCCTACGTGGATTTTGGCTCTTCCGCCGAATTCGCGCTGGCAGCTGGCCAGCCACATCGCCGGCCCTGCATGCCCGCGCGCGCTAGTGCGTTCTGCTGCCGCGACGCGTGCTTCTGTCAACGGATGAACAAATTGACGTTGCACGGCGGTTTGGCTGTGCCAAACCAACATGGAATGTTTGTTGGTAGCGGATCTTGGGGTCGCGTCGCCGCCGACAGCCTTGCCACGCCATACATGTCAACTGCATCCTAGAGCACGGCCGTGCATCAACCCTGGTTCAGAGCGGTGGGGATCCAGTGGCATGTGTGCACATGCGTTGCACCGATGGTAGTGCCAAAACCTTTTGTGTGACATTCCTTTGTGTGTGTTTTTCTGGCTCCTACTAGAGGGTCCTCGGCTTTGGGCGGGTCAGCTTGCAGTCGAGTTGAACGAGACTTCTTACAGTCGAGGTCGCGCAATCAGAACTTATCTTTTTTTTCACATCCTGCCCTACTTCTTCCTTCCTGTCGCTCCCTCCCTTCCATTTTCCCCTCCCCCCTCTGCCTCGTACCCATTCTCCAGCAGTGCGACCGATTTCCAGAGGCGGTGCGAGGGGCAGGTGTGTAAAAACTGTCGGGGTCAAGACGGGCCCATTCAATTTTCAGTTTTCTGGTCTGTCCGTCACGGTTTCATATTCAATGTTGTTCATCATCCGCTTGGGCCCAGCGCCGATCCAAGTAATCCGCGTGGAACTCCGAACGTTTCTATTAATTCGAGTTGCTTTCCTCTGTACGGTGGGGGCTTTGCTTGAGGAGTGTGCTTCCGAAGCTTCAGACCCTGGAGTATTTTTTATCTGACAAGGGCGGTCCTGATATCCATGGCCAAGCCTCAATTGGTGACCCCAACAAGTTTTCAAACCCTGGATTCCTTATCCAATGGTGCCTTATTCAATGCCCTCACCGTAGAGTGGCCCGCCCGTTGCACGTGCTGCACCACTCGTTTTCGCGCCTGCTCGCCATGGTCGACCCCTCATCCGTTATTTTTGCACGGCCGTGGCTGGAGCGCGACCGGCCGACGTTCGGATGCAATTTAGCCCGCGCGCCCTGCCAGCTCTCTACCGCCTGATGATTCATTCCACGTCGACGAGGAGGTAACTAAGCGCGCGCGTGTGCGTGTATGTGTTCTCTGAGTGTTCGGGAGGGTTAAACGCGTGCGCGCGACGTGCTGTTTTTCCGACCTTTACGGCCTGTCGTTGCGCGAAGGGCCGCGACGCCCCCCCCAACAACAACAAAAAGTGTGTGTGTGTGTGTGTGCGTGTTGGGCATAGCTGCCCTGCTATCGGTGGCGACCGTTCTTGTTTTGCACGTCGGGAGTGCCAAGGGTGGTCACCGCTTGGGGGGTCACCTTTCTTGTGGAAGGTTTCTTGCGGACTGCCCTCCACTGTAGGTCCGTGTTGGACGGCCCTGCGGTCGTCTTGTGGGCCCACCTCCTCAATGAAATATGGCGTTTCCTGGAGGAAATGGCGGCCCTCCAGTGGCGACCCCTCTGGGACTGCCCCAGCGATGCCTGCCGTGGCCTGTCCCCGACGCGGCCCTCGGCGCGGGCGGTTCCGGCACATTGTCGGATGCATTTCTAGCCTGCGCACCCCTCGTTGGGCGAACACTCATAGGAGGAACAGGCACCCATACCTTTACCCTTCGCCCGTTTTCCCCCGTTTTGGCCTCGGAGGCCCTCGTCGGCACCGTTGGACTCGCCTCGAAATCCTGGTCAGAACGCACCTCGGGAAAGGTCCGGGGGAGCAGCGGTATCGGTACTTTTCGGTTTCCCTAGACACAGCGACGGCGAAGACCAGCAATGTGTACCTGGCTCTGCGGGCGTCTGGGCTGGCGCGCTTCGGCAGACGCCGCGGCCTCGTGCTTGGTTTGGTTCCACGCACGCCACGTTGATGGCGTCCACCACGGGTGACCCCCCAGATGAGGTAGCATGCATGGCTCCTGCTCCCTCCAGACCTTCTCCAAAGGAGGGAGGGGCTTCTTAGAAGCCCTCTGTCCTTCTGAGAAGCCCCCTGTGGCTTCGGAGAGGACCTACAGTCAACCCGCATAGTAAGGACGATCAACCTTCCCAAGGATACCCCTGCATCCTTGCCTCCTCGGTCCATCCTTGGCCACTCTCGTTTGCTGCGCCCCGCTCGAAAAGCTTCGAAATGGGCGTGCAAGACCCTTGCATCCTCATGGCGCATCCTTATGATGCGGGTTGACTGTAGAAGGCTTTTTGTACGAAGGCTGGAGGCCTTCTGGGTCTTTGAGAGAGGGCTCCCCCCCCGCTTTGCTGCCTTCCCCCCCCCGCGCCCGGCCCACCAACATGCCGGTGCTGCCGAGCTGGCTCAGTGACTGGTGCGTGTTCCCTCGTCCTTCATGAGCGGAAGAAGGACGTACACGTACATGCATCCACCTTGGTGTAGAGAGCACGGATTGCGCGAATGTTCGTATCACGCGGTTGGTCTCGCTGCTCGAGGGGCCGTGTTCATCTACATGGTTGGGCGCGTGCGTCCTTTCTGGGCTCCCTCGTTCTTCCGCCCCGGCGCCCGGGGCCCCGTGCATGTCCCGAGTTCTCGCCCGTCACGGGGCCACGGCGTGTTGCCGCTCGCAGCCGGCGCGATGCCAGGGGCAGTTCACGCGCCTGTTCAAGCAGTACGAGGACGGCCTCCAGGATTTCTCCGACATGCCCGTCCACTACGCGCTCGAGGAGCTGGTGGCAAGCTCGAGGTCAGATGTTTGGCAGCGGGGGGCCCTTCGGAGTCGATGTGGAGGTGGAGGTTGAGCCAGACAATGCGCTGGAGGGCAGCGAGGATCTCGCTGGAACGAGCAGGGTGAGCATGAGAGGAGGAGGAGGAGGAGGAGGAGGAGGAGGAGGAGGAGGAGGAGGAGGAGGAGGAGGAGGAGGAGGTCGATACCAGGGATCATGAAGGGGGGGGGGAAGGGGAGGATGAAGGGAGGGGTGAGCATGAACATGAGCATGAAGGGGAGCATGAAGTGGGCCTCAAAGCGGTTACCTCTTGTATAGAAGTTGTAATAGGGATCCGATACATCCGAGGCGACGAGTTCCCCCCTCACATGATGATTACTGTCGTGGCACAGTCGTCGTCGTCGTCGTCGTCGTCGTCGTCGTCGTCGTCGTCGTCGTCGTCGTCGTCGTCGTCGTCGTCGTCGACAGCGGGCCTGCGCAGCAACCCCCCGCCACCCCCATGGGGCATCCGCAGTGCGTCGTCGTCGTAGTCGCCGTCGTCGCCGCGTCGTCGTCGTCGTCGTCGTCGTCGTCGCGTCGTCGTGGTCGTCGTCGTCGTCGTCGCCTCCAGCGGGCCGTCGCAGAAGCGCACACACAGGCGCACCATGGGGCATCCGCAGTGCGGCGTCGTCGTCGTCGCCGTCGTCGTCGTTGTCGTCGTCGACGGGCTCAACGGGCATGCGTAACACCCCCGCCCCTCCTGGAGC